GTGTCATCACAGAACTTGTCAAAAATATAAATTCTCAGGCCCTAATCCAGATCTACTGAGTCAGCATCTTGGAACAGGACCCAGCACCTTGGTTTAACAAGCCCTTCAAGTGACTCTGACCCATGCAAAAGTCTAAGAACCACTCTGTAGGCTCTAACCCATGTACCTCAATACTTGGACTCTGGGCCCAGCAACACTGCTGTCACCTGGAGAACTGTCAGAAATGCAGAATATCAGGCTTCAGAGTATTGAGTAGGGACTAAGCTCCTAGGTAATTTTTATAAACATTCAGTCAGAAAGCCATTGTGCAGATGTTCAGACCTATACTCGGTTGTGATGGTAGAGCCTAGGTGGACAGGATTTAAAAAGGTATGTTTTCTTTCTGTGTTCTAGAAGGCCACCTGCAGTCAAAGCTTGGACAAATGCTATCACTCACATATGCACCAGCAAAAAAAGTAGCTTTACTTTCATGTTACTGGCCAATTCTTCTGTTTTACCAATCTGCTGGGAATCAAGGTGCAAAAATTATTTCACCTGTAAATTAAAGACATCACCACCTCTTCCTACGCAAACTGTGTCTTCAGGTTATCTCAGCTATGCTGGGATGAATGCTTAGTCTTATCCCATCTATATTCAACTATACTCCACCTATCCTACCTCTTCCCATAATGACTCTGGGATGGGAGAAGCTTACCTGAACTTGTGGTGGCAGGGGATTGGCCAGGCATATGAGCAGTCTATGAAAATTAGAAAAGGATGTGTCTTAAAACACTTTCATTTTGCTGGGAAACTGTCATGCTGATTTTGTTAGAATACATACTTTGCTGCGACAGACTTTAAAACTGCCATACTAAATCTACAATGTCTGTGAAATGAATGGTGCTCCCTTAGACATGGATTTTTTAATGCAGTGCATAGTCTGAAAACTGTACACCAGTCTCCATTTTTATACTACAATGGTATGCATCAGACTGAACATGAGGTTTTTCCCCAAAGGTAAAAGCAGAGAAAACAGACTATTAGTACTGATATCTCACCTGCTCTGGAAGTTTCTATCGCTCTGAGGCCATGAGGTTCAAAATTCACCTCTGACCTCATTTTAACTCTTTCTTGTCTTCTCCCATGGTCCATGGGCCAGGAGGCCAGCCTGGTTCCTGCATAATAGGTGATTTGATTACATCAGAATTGATCTTCCTTTTCCCTCAGACCTACAGAAAACCCCAGGTTTAAGTCATGTAGACCTGTTTCTTGCTATGTAATGGGAACCTGATGGATGGTAAAAATTCCTTTCTTTGTTCATAATGTCTGGCTTTTGAGGCTCTGTTCACTAGTGACTCACAAACAATGCTGACTTCCTTTTTCTAGCTAAAATTCTCACTTGATTCTGTAAGCAGACCCCTTGGGGCAGCGGTATTTTCTGTATTTGAAAATATGAAAACAGGAAGCTCTCACAGGAATTGCATTATTTTACCATAAGGTCTTCCGGGACCATATAGAAGGCTGTAAGAAGAAAGACTCCAACATCTCCATTTTTCCCTAACAATTCCCTGAAGAAAGAGCCTGGCAGGCATTGTCTGAATCCCGGGATGTAGCAAACAGGGGCTTAAGCAGTGATTTTGCTACTGCTTAATGAAGGCCACTAACTTCACAAGTTAGAGTTGTCCTCATTGCCTCTCCATTGAACCTCTCCAGCCCTGCCTATTCCACAAACAGCCTGTGATGTCACCCTTACTTCCATGTTCCAAATTCCACTAGAACTTTTTGAGATTCAGGGACAAAAACTGAATTAAATAATGAGATTTGTTTGGTTCATGTAGGTGCAGTATGCAGGTCACCATATGTCTCACTGTATCATTAGAATCTAGCTCCAGTGTCCTATGAGTCCTAGAACTCTCCTTTCTTCTATGTGTTGGCTATTTCACAATAACAAAATTGACACAAAGATTTCAGGCATCTCATCTGCGTGTCACATCATCAAGAGCCAAACAAAGAGCCTTTGTCACAACCTCCAAGCAGGATTGTTCACATGCCCACCACTGAATAGTCATTGTGACCAGGAGATTGGACTGCTTTCATTAGTTTGGTTTAACTACTAATATACACGTTCCATTCCTGAAGCCAGGAACTACATGCATTTGGAAATTAGACAGCTCCAAAAAGATGTGGCTCTGGAGGATGTAGCAACATTTGAAAGAATGTCTACCTGATGCATAGGATTCTGTTACATTAGCTGAGATCTGACTCAGTCTTACCAATGAGCCCTGTGCCCTACGATGTTCAAGGAGGTAGCAAAGAAACACTGGGATTCAAGGAGCCACTGAAAACTTAGGCAATGTCACTGTCATTGGTAACTGATAGAGACCTTAAAACAAGAGCCTTCGCACATTTTCTTAGCATTATGTAAACCTCTCGACTCTGGTGTGAACCCAAAAGAGGAAGCCATCGCAACGATTACTGAGCTGGAATTTCCTGTAACTTGGTGGCATGTGATCTGGAAGTTACAATGAAGTCAACAAGGAAAACACGGCAATACTTTTTGTAGCATTGACTCTTCTACAGTGATCCCTACAACAAATTAAGTCAATTTATGAATATCTTACTAAAAATTTTGGGGGCGGGGGGTTTGAAACATCTCAAATTCATTTCTCATGAGTTAGGATGATGATTGGAATGTAGCATTAGTAATGTCTCTTTCTACTTTATAAAATGTAATCACTACTGGTAAAGGCGCTCCTAAAGGGAAACTCTTTCTCTTTAATCCTATTTTTTAAATATAATGTTAAAAAATTTCAGCCCAAAATACAAGTAACCCAAGGGTTTCAGAAATCAAGCCCTGACATTATTGAAAGTACATCATTCTTAGTGCATTCCATTAATTAACATATTCTTTGTTCATTCAAAAAATAATTGTGTTCACTAGTGACAATGCACTTGAGAATTATCCTTTGGGGGTCAGAACAAGAGTTGTTTCCAGATTTCCAGTCAAGGTTTCTAAGTTAAATTATTTGTGAGTACCACTAATTCGGTCTTAGTGGAAGGGCTGAAAATTTTAGATTTTAGGGTAATTCTGAAAAGAATTCTTTGAGATGGATGTTTACAAGTTCAATCAACTGTCCAAGATCTTTCAATAAAAGGATGAGATTTAAAGTTAATATTTTCATAGCACTGGGTAGTTATTATTGAGTAAGTTTTCTTGATTATATTGGATTTGAAATAGCACACATTTCCTAGATAACGAAATTTGCATTTTTATTCTAAAGCTGGCAATGACCAACACAGAGACTTCCTTAGCTCATTCTTCTATTGCTGTGTACATATGGCTTGCTTTTTAAATGCTAATTGCAACATTATTTGATGAATTGTAACCTACTTTTTAATGTGTGAAAATCCAGTGGTGCTTCATAAAACGACTTTAGAAAAGTATAAACAGAAGAAAAACAGATTACAGGCCATTATATGTTTAATGATATGCAAATGCTATTAAATTAGAACATGATTGTATTACGTTCATTGGTGAAGAATTGATTTCAACAATTCAAAATAACAGATGTAATTTTTTATGCTGATATCAAACAATAACAAATTAGAAATTAAAAATACATACATTGAATTACATCTTGACTTTCACAGTTATTAATTCTTTAAGAGCAGACAAAAAGACAAACTGCTTTTAACTTAAATGTTTTACACTTTTTTATATAAGAGATGCTTTCTTCTATGGGTTATAGAATAACTTAAATTAAGATAAATCTTCAGGGCTATTGTCACAATATAGGAGAAATTACACAATTTAGCCTATGTTCTGTCACATGTGAACTGACTGATTTTAACTAGCTTGGAGAAAAAAGAACTGAGATGACATTTGGAGTTTAAAAAAAGAAAGAAAGAAAACCTAGACCACCCTTAGTTCTTTGGGAGTGGAGTGAGCAGGGAACTGCAAAGCTCTGTAACAGTACCTTACCGCCACCTAGTGGCCACAAACAAGACACCCTGCATGCTATTTTCTTGGCCAGCAACAAGTGATGTAGCAAGAAAAATCTTACGAAAATCTTAATCCCCACATCACTTCTTCACCCCAATCTGATTTACTTTTGTCACGGTTTCCTAATTTTTTTCAGCTAATCTAATAACACAAATTTTAGTGTGTGTTAGAAACAAAGAATAAAAGAGATAATAGTGCTCAAGTATCTTTTTTAAAAAGTTGAATTGAATCAGGTATTTGAATAAAGAATGCTTTAAAAACATATCTTGCTTTATTATAAATTAAATATTTATTACTCGCCCCCCCCCAGAAGTGTCTACCCAGCAAATGTAGATAAACATCTCTGTCAGAACTAATTTTTTCCGGAAGAGTACAGCAATGAAAAATGTACATAGATGTTTTCTTATCACAACTCCCTTGGCAGCCACTTCAAAAGGGAAAGAAGGAAGGAAGAACAGGGATGGAAAATTTAAAAAGTGTCTGTCCCAGCTGCTAAATTAGTACAGAAGAAAATGAAAAAAACCTCAGATGGTGCATTACTTCAATTTTAGGAAATAATGGGTGTTCTACTAGTTGGTACTAAACACCTTATGAAATAGTACAAGCATATACTAAAAAAGACCGTAGGAATCTTTGGTGTTTTCTTTGTTGTGTGAGATGGAGAAAATTATTTGTGTCTATAAGTATGTTTTCTTTGTTGTTGTTTCTGTTTGAGGAAATTTTCTGGTTCCATGGCAGGGTCACCTGATAGACAAAGAAGTCCATTATCACAAAAGCCTTCTTGGGTCAGGATGCTACAGCAGTAATTGTGTTGCTGTACCAACCTGCTGATGGGTTTAACTGGAAAAGAACCTGGATGACAGAATGATGACTACTGTAATTATTGGGGAAAAGAAGCAAGATGAAAGTTCTACAAAAGGAAATGGCCACATGTTCTGTATCACAAATTGTATTTTTAAATCAATACTTCCCAACTAAAAATAAATGAATAAAGTTAACAAAGTCAACAAGGGCAATTGACAAATAATTATTTATTTGATATCCTTTGGAGTAATAGATATCTCCAAAAGATCTCCAAAAGGGATCTTTGGAGATCCAATAGATATCTTTTGGAGATATCTATTACTGGAGAGACCTGTTAGCCTAGCTTGAAAGAGAAAATGAATAAGTCAGTTTTAAAAGACTTGCTGCTACCAGGGAGATAATATTATATAATTTGGACAATATAAGATGGTTATTTTTAAATGTCTTTTAAGTTCCCCTTCATCCATAAAGATGCCCCAGACTAGATAGAGAAATGGAGGCTTTAAAAAATATGCATTTAAGGTAGTCTCTTTTCTGGCTCTGCAAAGTGAGTATTTTTGAGTTCACTAACTAAAAAAGAACATTCTGAATAAGAAAATGTAAAGTCAAAAATGTAAACAAATTAAAACTGGTATCTACCCATATGTTGAAGTCCATAGCTTGTGTCTCCTAAGAAATGTGAGCACTTAGGAGTGGGCACAATTGAGAAAGTCCCATAGCTTCACTGATACATTTCATTTCACAAAAGTCAAGGGGGAAATTGTACAATGTACTTTGAAAATATTTCCATTGGACAGGTTCAAAATACTCAGCAAACACAGCCCTTTTTCAAATGTAATTTTGATTATATAATATCATGTACCTTACTCTCTCTCCTATCTCCCCCCAATTCTCTGTTCTCTTCCAGGACCTCTAATTCCACAGTATCCCTTGTAGACACAGAAAGTATGCGTTTCCTTTCTCTTTGTGATCTGTTATGTTTCCCAACACAGAACTTTAATATATTCCACATATCAGATCTTCCCGTTTCCGTTACAAAACAGTACAGAATTGGATCTGCCACACAGTTTAAACTTGTTAATGCCACTGTGATTCTATACATTGTGTATGTCTGCTTCCCAGACTTGTGGTTGTCAAAGTTGATCTCCCGCTCTAAAATGCAACGAATCAGCACCAGCACATGAAAGGGAGTAAAGCAGAGGATGAAAGTCAACGTGATGCTAACAAGCAGCTTTATGATTCTTACTTTTTCACTGCTTTCTGTGGCTTGATTATGCCGTACAGCTTGGTAGACTTTGAGGTTGCAAATCATGATGATGCACAAAGGTACTGCATAGCCTGTACACGTCCTAAACAGGTTGAGGTTGATTTGCCATTTCTCCAAAGGGTACTTGTCATAACATAGAGTGAAATTAGACTTCTCGGCATCACAATATTCAATAGTTGTCTCGTCTTCCCACAAAATGACAGCATTAAAGATGGATTCTAATACCCAGATACACAGGCTGACTATGAATGCAAATCTTCTTGTCCTTAGAAAAGAAAACTTCAAAGGGTAGACAACTGCTAAGTAGCGATCTATGGCGATGCAGGTGAGGAATGCCGTGCTGCTGTAAAAGTTCATGTATGTCAAGAAAGCACTCCCTTTGCACAAAGCAGAAGAGAATGTCCAGTTGTCTTTGTTCCATGTGTAATCAATCCACAGAGGCAGGGTGAATGCATATAGCAAATCTGACAATGATAAACTGAAGAGGTAAATTCCTAGTTCATTTTCCTTCTTTGCTTGCAGAAAGGACACACATAGAGATCCAATATTGGCTGGGACACTGACTACAATCACAAATATGTAAACAACTGGAAACAAATAGTGGTCCAGTTCGTGCTGTTCTTCAATACATGTGCTGTTCATGGCTTCTTCTTAATGGTGGCAATTACATTAGTTCTTACAGGGTAAACAGGAAAATAAGTCTTGCCTTGTTAGGGCTTTTCAACATCAAATTCTCTTTTACTAACTAAGATTCCCCTCCAATGTTTCTTTGGTTTGTAATGTTGTAGTCAATCCATCAGTGCTGTTTAATGGTGGGTGTAGATCAATTTTCATACAGATAATCAATTGGTGGAAGTGAGAATCTAGGCTCCTGGAAGTAAGCTAAAGTGGTCAGTTGAATTTAATGAACAGAAATCCACATGTTCATTATCAAAGACTGCTGAGAAAAAACTCTCCAGGGTCAGCTGGGGCATCCCTTACCTTCCGTGGAGTGTTGTACCAAGTTTTCTTCTTCAATCTCATAGGAGATAACGGATTAGTGAAAGTATGAATATATGAGGCTTTATGTTCACAAAGATTGATACTGCTTTTTAATATGCCCTGTATCTGTAATGAAAGATGAACTAGAATCAGACATTTATAAGTTATAGAACCTCACCACAATGATTTTGAAGCAATCTTCTTTCATTTATTGAAGACATTGAAAACACTTTAAATTACAATTACAAAATACAATGAAGGTATTTAAAATGGAAAAATTATTTAACTGACTTTAGTAAATAAAATCAAGCTGAGACATTTTACCTATTTCAAATAAGAATTGCCCAAGAGATGCTAGCTTAGAGAGAATTGTATTTCTCACCAGATATGACTTAGCAACTGAAAGTAAAGTTAAAAAGCCATTTGAGAAGTTAAAGAAAGAAAATTCAATTATTTGTGATCAGTAAATGCTTTATTTTTTGTTGTGCTGGGGATTGAGTAAATGTTTTTGAGAGTCTAATAAACTACAGAGTTATATAATTTCAAAATTTTAATTTTCTATAAAATATTAATTATTTTCATGGGTATAAGGCACTTTCAAAATCACCTTATTATCCAAAAATATTTTCATAAGAAATATGATAAAATTGAATTTTAAACTATAGCAGCTTATTGAGCTTTAACACAGAGACAACTCTACCTTTTCTGTTTGTCCTTTTGTTTCTTCTGTGGAATAACTCACTTTGTCTTTCTCATACTTTCATAAATGAAAGGCTAGAACTTTCTCACTTCTGGATAAAATTTTCATGAACATCAATTTTTGTCTTTAGACCTGGCTATTTATTAAGTCTGTTCCTTTTTTTTTAAGATGTGATGTCATAGATTCACACAAGAATAGAATATCCCTCCTTCTCTCCATCTCAGGCTAGAGAAATACTTCCGCATTCCTTTTTGAGGTGATTTATCTGTTGGGGATCATCGGAGACAGCTTTGCAGAGACATTGTGCAGGGCATCAGAACCACTGTCTTCCAAGTGTCAACGAGTCCCAGCACAAGAGGACCAGTCCTCACAAGACAGGAGGATTCTGCTATCATCCAGAGTATATCTCACTCTTGAAACAAAATGTAGAACCAAAACTCCCAAGACCTTCGAGTTTTATCACACTTAAAGATATGAATAAAACATGAAAAATCAACCTTCTAAAGAAATAGGGAAGCTTCTAGAGAGGAAACTGTGAGAGAAAAAGGAAGGGGGAACTGGGAAGATGGAAGTGAGTAGGAAAGCTGTGGGTATTCTGGAGGCATATCTAGGTCTGGAGGAAATGAGGCACAAAGCTAGACCTATGCAGAGAGGAAGGGGTCCTCCACTATCTCACACCCATTGAGATCCAGGAGCCTCTTCCTTCTGGGAAGGAGAGAACCAGAAGATGACAAAACAGTAAACTCCACAGATATTTGCAGATCACAGAGAAAAGCTGGCAAATTCTGTACTCCAACATGGTTTCTGTGAGTAGCTATACTAAGAAAATTCTTCTGTGAGTATTCATGGTCTCTGGCAGACCCTCATTTGGAATGGGATCTGAGTTTGCATTTGGAATGGGATCTGAGTCCTGCAAACTTAAGGGCAACTTGTGTGCTTAATTTTATCAGTCATCAAGGAAACACACTAAAACCACAATGAGATACCACCACACCCCAAAAGAATACATAAATGGAAGAAACACAGAAAATACCAGGTGTTGGTGAGGTTGTAGAATACCTAGGCTTGTATATACTGTCAGTTGAAAAACTATTTGGAACTTAACGCATACCATTTCTAGATATATGTTCCATGTAAATACATACATGTGCTTATTTAAAAAGGTACTAAAATTAGGATGTGCACAGTAGCATGATTTGTAATAACCCCCAACTGAAATGTCCATATCAGTAGAATAGATAAGTAAATTATGGGACATTAAATAATTAAAATCTACACCCCAATGAAAATGAACAAATTTTTCCTATATGCAATAATATAGTTGAAGTTCACAAACATAATGCTGAGTGATAGAAAGGTGCTAGAAGTGTATGAATTATATGATAAAATCCAGGCAAGGTTAATCTATGCTGTTCAGAGTCAGATCAGTTTATGCCTTTGGGGAGGATCCAGGTAATGCTGAAAGAGGAGTGAGGGGGACTTCTGAGGGTTTAAGAGTGTTCTGTTTATTGCTATGGGTGCTGGTTTAATGAGTATGTCCAGTTTGTAAAAATTCATCAAGCTGTATAACTTCCATGAGTATGCTTCATTTGTACAGCTTTACTAAGCTGTATACTTAAGATATGTGCGTTTGTTTTCATAAATATTATAACTAGAAAGTTAAAAAGTGGAATCAAAGACTGTGTGAGTTGGGGTGTAAAGCATCCTGACAAACAGCATCTGTTTGACTTGCAGATGTAAGCATACATGCCTTCCTAAGAAACACGATTTTATTTCTTCCTTCTTAAATAAAAAGCAATTTGTAAAAACAACATAATAAATAATTTAACTATGGAGATACATTCACCAAAAATAAAAGCTTACTATCTAAAAATAAATTCCGTGTACCTGGAAGAAGTAAACATAAATCTGCCCTTGAGGAAGACTTCCTCAACCTAGACTCCAAAGAATCCCACAGATAGATTCCTAACAAATATGACTTCATTAAAGCACACAGATGTTCATGCATACGGCACACATACACACACAGGTGCACACGCATGTGCTCACACATGCACACACACAGAAATAAACTACAACATGGGAGATTGAGTGAAATAAGAAAGAACAGAACTATATCCACAAAAGCATTTGAGATAAATGTGTAACACAAAAGAAGTGTCTGTAATATGTTTAAGGAAATAAAAAGGGGAATTAGAGCTCAGAAGGAAAGGGCAAGAGAACACAAAAAGTAAGACCAAGCATATCTGAACTCACCAAAATCTGTTCAAAAATGGGGGAGAAGAGGGATAGGGAAAAGAAAGAGCAACAGAGGGGGCTAATCTGATCAAAGTACAATATACACATTATGAAAATCCCATGGTGAAATCCTTTTGTACAATTAATATACATTAATAAAAATTTAAGGAGATTTAAAAATAAAAGATTGAAATACACCTAGAAATTTAAAAATGTAATAATTTAAAATTTAAAGTCAACCAACTGTTTAGATCTAGCTGAGGAGAGAATTAGTATATTGTAATATAGAACTGAAGAAATAAGACAAAATCATCAGTGTTGAGGATATGGGAAAATACCACAGAGACATGGAGAATAAAGTGAAAAGGTCAGCACATGAATACTGGAATTCTATAAAGGTAGAAAAGAGATAGTAAGGAAGAGGCAATGTTTAGAAAGATAATGGCTGAGTGCTTTCTAGAACTGATGAGGACTTAAAACCCTCACATTTATGAAGTTTAGCAAGTCCCAGATGGGATAAAAACCAAACTAAAATGGAAATCTATGCTTAGACACATTGCAATCAAACTGCAGATCACCAAAGACTAAGGGGAGAAAAAGGATAGAGACAAAATGGATTACTTACAAGGATCATCTTAGAATTGAGAAAAGTCTTACCACCAAGCAGAAGACAGAGGATTAATATTGTTGAATTGCTAAGAAAATATCTCATCCTATAATTGTATTCCAACAGAACTAAGCTGCAAGGACCAGAGCAAAAATTAAACATTTTCAAGTAAACTACTACAGGGAAAATTTGCTCCCAAATTCTTGGCTTAAGAAAATTCTAAAAGATATAACTGAAAAGGAAAATGTCCCTGAAATAAAACCTGAGGTGCACAAGGGATTGAGTAAGCCTCTAAGGTTGGGTGGAGTCCTTTGATGAATGGTCAGCATCATGTCTATACTACATATCTGGGAGAGAACACGTGGACAGTGAAAATAACCTTCCTTGGAACTAGGACCAGGCAATAGGTACCTCTTCCTCTTTTGTCAGTGTCCCTCAATAGATAGGCTTTTTTTTTCTCTAAAGGAAAAGTAAGATGGAAAAAATTACTTTAAGAAGATTTTTTAAAGTTCTCAATGGAATGAATTTCTTTAGCTATAAAAAGCATTTCCTGCCTTGCCGAAAGCAACCACAAGACAGAATAATTTGATGAAGCAGATACTGGTCTCTTCTCTGTTGGGTAACAAAGGCAGTGTAAGTTTGTGGTTATGAGCGTGGACATAGTTTTAAACGCTCTCGACCCCTGAGGGATCTGTGACCTGATGTGTTTCTTAAGTTCCAGTTTCCACATGTGTAGATTAGTATCCACATCACAGGGTTGATATGAAGTTTAGATGAGATGAGCCATCAGGCAAAAACTCTAGCACATGACAAACCTTCACTCTATTTTATCTGGTCCAATTGCTTCAATGACAGCATCAGTACTCTGTAGTATCCTCTATCTGTCCCCACATTTCCTGGAAGGAGATCATCTTTAACCACCTGGCCAGAGCACTCAGTGTGGTTTGCACAGTAACACTTCACATGTGATACTAAGCATCACAGATAGCACTTGTCAATTTAATGGGTATGGATCTGAAATTTCAATGGCATACATAATTCTTATTATTCATACATCTTTTCAAATATTATTTTGTGTACTTTAATTTTGAGAAAATTGTTTGTAGAACCATCACTGAGAAATCTGGATGTTTTTTATTTCTATTGTAATTTTTAACAAGTGCCAAAAAAGACAGTCTATATTATATTAAAGCATATTTATTCTTAACCAGCTCAAAAAATATACAAATCATTGATGACAATAGCCAAAGGAAGCTGTTTCCTTACTATGTTCTAAAAAATGCTTGCTTTCGTTTATAAGTTTACTAGCTACTTATTAATACTCTACTATGTTTCAGTCACTGCAATCATTACTTATTAACAAATAATTATAATTGATGCTGATTAATACTGAAACATTTTTTCCAAACTCCAAACATTTTTCTTGATGGATATAAAAAATATTACTAGACCATTGTATGGATGAGGAAACGGTGCCAGATACCTCTGTGGCTGGGAGATGTTAGGTTTCTTTTTAGATAATGCTGTTTGCCAATACATTGTTTCTTAAAAGGGACTTGAAGCACAAGCATCCTCCTTCTTTATATTTATAGTTTTACCAAACTAGTTCTAAATGTTGACATCCTTTTACCACTGTTCAAATTGGAGGAAACCATGTGTCTTCCTCATTTCTCTCTCTCTTACAAGGTTTTGTTTCACTACATTTACACAGCCTAAACCAGAAAAAAATATTGCGATCTTTATGAATAATCATCTCAAAGTATGTTATCTACTTTAAAATCTTATTCTAGTTTTTAATCTTATACTTACCCCTGTTTCTTGTAGTGTAGCTTTTGTCAACTGAGGAGCCTGATAAATCTGCTTGCATCAAGAAGAGAAACCAGCACTGTGAGGGGGGCAGGAAATTGCACTCATATTTCGTCATAAACCAATAAAGAAGCCGAATGTTAATGGGAAGGCTTACATTATTCAAGTTTGAACAAAAGAAGTCTCTTAAGTGCTTTAAAAGATCTTTTTATTTGTTATCTACTGTAGTATAGTTTTTGTAACTCATTTTTCTCTTTACATCTTAATTACAAATATATTTTGACATTATGTATGCTTTACTTAATAGATCATGTACTAGATCTTTCATTCAGTTGTTCATTTGTTCATTTTGTCAATACAAATATCTATTACATTTTTAGGGCACTGTGCTATTACCCAAAGAGGAATGTATCACCAAGTGAAGGAGAATTGTTCAATAATGAGTAAGATGAACTAGTAACATGGATAAATACTCCAAGAGATGAACAAAAATGTAGGATGACTCATTTTCATATGTGAAATAGGAGAGGTTGTTGTAGATCAAGTCATGGCCAACAATTTCCCAGGAAGAAGAATGAAGAGGAAGAATGGAGGTTGGTTGATTAAGGGTGGATGTTGTGTGGTTCGATGGCAATAATGGGGGTGGAGCATGGGGAGGTTAAGTGACCGATTTTTTCAAGTCTGTTGTTTTTTCTTTTGAGGGACTGATGGAATTAGAGCCATAGTATTTGATTGCAGAACCATTTTTAAAAATTCTCCTCTGAGAATAGAAAACATTGCTAAAACCAGTTGAATTATCTGGTTTAGGCAAATAGTTGTATGAAACTTGAAAACTCATTTGAGAATGATATAGATTGTTATTTTACAAGCTCAAGTAATAATTCAACAAGTTTAAAGTTATTGCCAAGTCTATAAGTGGTCTAACAATGAAGTGAAAGTAACTCCTAGAACTTCCTACTTTGAGATATAAAAAAGTTAGACATTTTTCAACCTTGTTCTTACCAACTTTTATTAAAAATTAGAAAGAGAATATTACTTTATAAAGATGGAATTGATTTGGGATGGAAATTTTTAACTTAATTTTAGACTATAATCAAGATATACTAAGTCTATGTTTGTAAAAGAAAAGTAATTTCTATTGGTGGAGTTTTTTTCTACCCAGGGATAGAAAAGGTGACTTTTCTTTTTTCTTTTTAAATGATATTCATTAATATCATGTAGCTACATTGGGTCCACATTTTAAAAATTTTATAATTTTTGCACTTACTTACATGTGTATACATTACCTGGGCTTCCCCCTCCCCACTTCCGGGCAGAATCTATTCTCTAATTTCGTAGAAGAAAATACATAAAAGATGATAAAAACATAGTGTTTTGCTAGTTTGAGATAAAGATAGCTATACAGGGAGATTCCTTGTGTTGTTCCCATACATATGTGTATTACAACCTAAATTTAATCAAGACTTTTCATCTTGGAGTTAATCAGGGTATATCAAGATTGTAAACGTTTTTTGAAACTTTCTTTGTAGGTCTTTCATTGAGAATAATAAAAGTAATAATTTTATGAAGTACACAAAAGTTTACAAAGTAAGTTAGCATTTAGTAACTTAGAATTTAGAATACATTGTTTCTGAAATAATAAAAAATTAAAGTGTAGTGTGGAAAATTCATAATAAAGGTATTAAATCTTTACAAAGTGAAAGCAGCTATTTCAGTTTTCTCATGGGTGCAATCTAAATATTTTAATTTTTGTTGGGTTTTGCACGTCCGCTTATCTGTGGTTTCTATTCACGGGTGTTTTATGACTCTCACAATCTGTTATTTTACCTAAATAAACTATACTTCTGCTTTTAGGGAAAGAATATTTTCACATCCATTGCAAATATCTATGCATTTTGCTCTTCAAAAAACAAAAAAGGGATGTAGTTAAAGGATACAAGAAATGCAAACAAAATTTCACTTCAGAATAAACAGGAAAAAAATTATGGCCGACTTTATGATAAAACCTTGTGAACTCTACACAATAAGAAATTTACCAACTTTCATGAAATTTGTTTTTTGAGTCCAAAAAATATAGCAGTACCTTATTTTCAATCACAAGGCTATCTAATGAATAGTTGGATATTTCAGAGCTCTGAGAGCCAACATCCAGTTCTGACCTTTTAACAACATAAAGATAAGACAAAGCCGATTAGCAGCTATTGAGATCACTGGTTTTATGGTGTCAGAATTCTTGGCCAGTCAGTTTTCTGGTCTTCTGAGGTCACAAACTGGGCATCCAACATTGGCCAAAGGCAGTGCACATAGGGAACAGGAGAATAGAATATGGATTTGCCTGATTCCAACCTCTCCATGGGGCAGACAGTGCAAGAACTTATTCTCCTGATAAGGGGTTCTTCTTTGTGAGGCCTCATCTGTCTGTTCAACACAGTTTCACTAATAAAATCAGCATCTAAATATGACAGGGTAAGATTGTAAAATGCTGTGGTATTTCCTGAACCTTATTTCTTTATATCCCAGCCCTGACCCTTATACATTCAATTAGTAAGTTTGTCTTTATTGCCTTAAGAGAAGAGATTCTTGGTAGGAAGTAAGAAAAAAAAAAAAAAAGCAAAGTAAGTTTAGAGTCACAAAAGACGGAAGCCACTAGAAACCCAGGAATATGCTTAGGAAAATTCCTGTTGAAAGTCCAGGCCCCAAGAGCACAGAGGTCTTTCTGCTTGGTAGAAACAGGGCTCTGAGTTGTGAGAGAGGAAGTAATGAGAGCTTAGATGTGGCCAGTACTTGAGAAAGGGGTCCTGCTTCCTGACCACTATATTATCGCTTGCCTGCAGCAATCTCACAGGTGGGAGTGGGTGAAAGATACCCCAGATGAGTTGTGTGATCTAGTGAGTACAGTGTACTTGTAGGGGATGTCCAGCTAGGTGGTAAGACTCAGGGATATGTATACGAGGGACCTGAGACACTTTCATGAATTTCCCCTGTGCCTGCATGGCACAAGTGTTGGAGAATGGTTTCTGGAAGGCCATGGAAGGCCTCAGCCCACTTCATAGCACTTCCAGTCTTACAGCCATCAATGAGGAACAACTCAGGTGAGTCTTACATGAGATAGCTACAGAAGACCAAAAGAATGAGGGTGTCTCCAGAGATGCCAGCATTGAGAGTAACAGCTGCTCTCCAACATTGGCAACATGCAAACTCCTCATATCCTAAATAATATTATGAGTTGAATTATGTCCACCCCAAAATTCATATGTTGAAACCCTAACTTTCAGTACATGAGAATGTGGCTATACTTGGTGATAGGGCCTTTAAAGCAGTGATTAAGTAAAAGTAATACCTTAAGGATGAGGCCCTAATTCAGTCTGACTAGTATCCTTATTAGGAGAAGAAATTAGGTAACCTAGAACAGATGAATAAATTCCTAGACAAATAAACTTACTAAGACTAAATCATGAAGAAATAGGAAATCCAAACAGACCAAAACCAAATAAGTGAAATTGGCAAAGACCTTGATATATCCAGACTTAAATCCCGTAAGTTAAGTTGTCTTCCAGGAAAAGCCTCAGGTTCTTTCACGAATGATCTGTAAGTTGGAACCAGACTTTCAAGAATGGACAGGAGCTGCAGTCAGGTTGTCATGAACTCAAAATTCCCCATGCATACCAAAACTTACCCCCTAAAGAAACATATACCCCTTTTTGTTACAAGCAGATGTATGCCTCTCCCTTCCTATAAATTTCTCCACTACTAATCAGAGAAGCTGATTGAACTTTTTGCTTGTGATTTCCTTGCCAGTCAGCCAAGCAATAAAGATTTTTCTTTTTGAAAAATCCTGGTGCCATAGTATTGATTTCATTGTGTATCAGGCAGAGAACCCTTGCTCAATAACATAAGGAGATGAAATAAAAATAAAAAATCTCCCATCAGAGATGAGCCCAGGATCTGGTGGCTTCACTGTTGAATTCTACCAAACATTTAAAGTACTAATACTAATCCTTTTCAAACTCTTCCAAAAAAATCGAAGAACAGGAAATACTTCCAATTAATTTTATGAAGCCAGCATTACCTTGATACCAAAGCCAGATAAAGACAATAAGAAAAGAAAATTATAGTCCAATATCTCTGATGGACATGGATGCAAAAATCCTCAACAGAGTACTAGCAAGTCAAATTCAACAACAGATTAAAAGGATAATTTACCATGATACAAGTGGGATTTATTCTAGGAATGCAAAGTTAGTTCAGTGACACAAATCTATAAATGTGATAGTCCACATTAACAGAATGAGGGACAAAACCCATCACTTTAAGAGATGCAGACAAAAGTATTAGATAAAATGCAACATCCCTTCATGATAAAAACTTACAACAAACTAAGTATAAAAGGAATGTCTTCAACACATTAAAGACCATATAACAAACTCACAGCTGACATACAGATAAATGGTGAAATTTGAAAGCTTTTCCTCAAAATCAGGAATAAGATAAGGATGTTTACTCTTGCTATTTCTATTTAACATAGTACTATCCAGAGTAACTAGGCAAGAGAAAGAAATAGAAGACATTCAATTGGAAGGGAAGAAGTTAAAATTTCCTTGCTTGCAGATAACTTAATCCTATATATAGAAAACCCTAAAGATTCCACCAAAAATCTATTAGAACTAATAAACAAAAAATTCAGTAAAGCTGCAGGATATAAAATCAATCTACTAAAATCAGTAGTGTTTCTATACACTAATAATGGGCTTTCCAAAAAAAAAA